CAGCAGCTGTTTTCATCCAGGCCTGGTGGCGGGGCACACTAGTGCGACGCACACTGCTGCATGCAGCCCTCAGGGCTTGGATCATTCAGTGCTGGTGGAGGCAGGTGCTGGCGAGGCTGCTGGCAAAGAGGCGGAGGATGGTGTTGGAGTTCTATGTGCAGCAGGAGTGGGCAGCAGTCAGGCTGCAGTCCTGGGTCCGCATGTGGCGTGTCCGCCAGTGTTACTGTCGTTTGCTGAACGCCGTCCGCATCATCCAGGTCTATTGGCGCTGGCACAGCTGCCATTCCCGTGGCTTTATTGAGGGCCACTACGAACTCAAAGAAAATCAACTTAATGTTCAACTTGAAATCTCTCTGGGCTCACAGGCTTGTAAGGTGCAACAATGCATACCCCTTCCATTAAAAGAATGACCAGGTCTGCTATATCTGTGTCCCCAGCTCTCTTTGCCAGATGTATTTTCAGGAGGTCATTGTTTGAGATAATGATGGGAAATACTAGGCATGTCACAAGTCAACTCTGAGGAATCAGCAGGGGTTGTCTGGGGTTCCATATGGAGAAAGATTCTGAGAGCCATCTTGGATGAGTAGGACCTGTGATTGATTAGCAATGTCTGTCATAGGTAAGGGAGTTGAGCTTCAGGGTCACCAGGTCAGATTTTACCATGTAAACAAAACATATAATACATGTATACTTACATAAACACATCCAAACACACGCGTGCACACACACACACACACACACACACATACATAGAAAGAGAGAGAGATCATACAGCTTTCATTTTAGAATTTTTTTCATGAGACAGTAACACAAGCTCACTGGTTTATAAAAGACAGTTGAATCTAAATTATATTTCAGACAAAATAGGAACCTATTCATATGGCTTAACTTTGTTTTCCCTATAGGTATTCTAATGAATCTTGTGAACCAAAATTTTGGAGAAAGCAGTTTCCATGGCAGTTTGATTTTTAAAAGCTTCTTTCGCCCCTACCCGCTTTTTGTCCTTTTTAAATTTTAAAGTTTAGTGTTAAATTTTCCATGTTTACATTTTTGAAACATGGGGGAAAAAAAAACCATGGCTGAATTGTGTAAGAAAAACAAAATCTCCAAGTAGTCTTGAACTAGTAACAAATCCATCTTTCAGTTGCTGGTCTGGGGTTGCTTGATTAGCATATGCAGGAGGGAAAACATTTTAGCACATTTTTTCCAGCATTTTCTCATTGGCCTCTATGTGGCAGAAAAAGTAAAATTTTTATGCTGGATAGAGATGCCTTATAGCATGGCTGCGAACTCAAGATTTTGACCTGTTTGATGAGATAGCCTAACTTTTTTTTTGAGACAAAGTCTTGCTCTGTCGCCAGGTGCCGGGCTGGAGTGCAGTGGTGCGATCTTGGCTCACTGCAACCTCTGCCTCCAGGTTCAAGCAATTCTCCTGCCTCAGCCTCCCGAGTAGCTGGGACTATAGGCATGCGCCACCATGCCCAGCTAATTTTTGTGTTTTTTTGGTAGAGACGGGGTTTCACCATGTTGGCCAGAATGGTCTTGATCTCTTGACCTCATGATCTGCCTGCCTTGGCCTCCCATAGTGCTGGGATTACAGGTATAAGCCACCATGCCTGGCTGAGAGCCTAACTTTTATAAACATTTATCTAATTCATTTTCCTTCGGATTACTACTGTCTCAATTAAGCATTCCATTATCATTTGCAATTATTAGTCAAGCACATCTAAATTTATAGTTCTTTGTTTTTTGTTGTTTTTTTTTGAGATGGAATTTTGCTGTGTTGTCCAGTCCGGAGTGCAGTAGTGTAATCTTGGCTCACTGCAACCTCCACTTCTTGAATTCAAGTGATTCTTCTGTCTCAGTCTCCTGAGTAGCTGGGATTACAGGTACCTGCTATTACGCCCAACTAATTTTTGTATTTTTAGTAGAGACAGGGTTTCACCATGTTGGCCAGGCTGATCTCGAACTCTTGACCTCAGGTGATCTGCCCACCTTGGCCTCCCAAAGTGCTGGGATTACGGGCGTGAGCCACTACACCTGGTCCTAAATTTATAGTTCTAAAAGGTGTCTAACTTGTTGGTTACTATGAAGCTGTTATAATTTGTAAAGCCATTAATTTGAAAGCCTTTAAGGCTTAAAAAAAAATATTGGCCAGAATGCCATAAGGAGTGAGTTTTATCACAACACCAGTAGAAAAGTCAGCAGGTTCAAAGTTGGCAATAAAAACACGCAGAGAACTTAGAAGACTCTACATGTTAACTTTACAATTGCAGGTTTTTAGAATATTGATTATTTCAGCTCCCGAATTTTTCTTGATTTAATTTTGCTCATCAGGGGCCAGGTGTGGTGGCTCATGCCTGTAATCCCAGCACTTTAGGAGGCTGCAACGGGAGGATCACTTGGGGCCAGGAGTTCAAGAGCAGCCTGGCCAACATGGTGAAACCTCATCTCTACAAAAATACAAAAATTAGCTGGGTACAGTGGCACATGCCTGTATCTCAGCTACTTGGGAGGCTGAAGTGGGAGGATCACTTGATCCCAGGACGTGGAGGTTGCAGTGAGCCGAGATGGTGCCACAGCACTCCAGCCTGGGTGACAGAACAAAACTGTCTCAAAAATAAAAAATAAAAATAAAAATAAATAATTTTGCTCATCAATTTTAAAATGTTTTCAAGAGTGGGCTGTAATATGCAGACAGCTGGAGTCCCAGAAAACCTGGTACACCTTAATGTTTGATAATTCCATTCTATTTCTTCTTAATCTCTCAAGAGCAATGAAAATTCTATAAATCCTGTTGGGGAACATCAGGAGTTTAGGCTGGTGTTTCAGATGGTGGTGACTTCCCTAGTGGCTTTTAATTAGCAGTCCTGCACCCACCATCCAGAATGTTTGTTTTTGCTTTTAGAAGATCTTTAGAAACAAGAAAAGAGTCAAACCAAATCAAAAAGAACCAGTATAAGAGTGTTCACAAAAATTGTAACCTATGAATGCTGATTAATATATTAAATGAATTCCACAAACCAGAAAAGACATACCTCACAGACTGAGTTCTCTTGTAAAAATAATAATTTACACTACCTCCTCTCCAAAAGTTTGTTATTTAGGTTGGAAGAATCGTGTCAGAAATGAAACCTGAAAAAGAACACTATTGGAAGAGATTGCCGATTCTTAGAACTGGTCTGCAGGACCTACTTGAGCCCTTTGAGCTCTCTGCTCCCAAGGCTTACCTTGTAGAAAACAAGAGAACTCAATTCAGGAAGACACACATCTTGATATAAGAAAGCACTTACCAGAAAAGGCAAAAAGTCTTTTTGTCATCCAGGGAGAGATGTATGGTCCTTTATTAAGGTTGCGTGATCCGAACCAGATCCCAAGTAATATCAAATATTACCAGAAATAGGGAGGCTCAGCCTGAGAGAAGACTCAGCAGGGCAGAAAAGGTGAGCCGTGGAAGCAAAGAGCTCAAAGGACTCAAGTGGGTCCTGTCAACCGGTGCCAAGAATCACCGATCCCTTCCAATAGTGTTCTTTTTCAGATTTCATTTCTGACACAATTTATTTCAACCTAAATAACAAACATTTGGAGAGGAGGTGGTGTAAATCATTCAACTCAGAAAATGTAAATGCAACTATCCTAGAGAAATTTATTGGGAAATTAGTCTAGTTGAGATATGTGGTCACAAATATAAATTAAGTCCATGCCTCATGGTTGTTGGTTTTGTCCCAGCCATGCTCCCTTATTCTGTAGGCACGGAACAGGGAGATGGTTGGCTTCATCTCATACATGTTTGCAGAAAAAGAGTGGGCCAAGGGAGTCAGGTAGTGCAGGGGAAAGACGATCATAATTAACCACGGAATCTGTGCTAGGTAAAGAAACATGCAAGAGGATGTCGGGGGTGGTGGCTGTAAAAAAAAATAGGGTCAATAAACTGGAAAACCTTATCACATCTAAAGAAATACTCTATTGGGGTTATTGAAAAGCTGAACTGAAAGGAAAGAAGAAAGTAATCGAAGAATGGAAAACTAGAAAAACAATTTGAATAACAGTACAATTATTGGTGATGATGAGGTCTAGAGCCTCATTGTCCAATGACTATTTAAATTTAAATTAAATTAAATCAAAAGTTCAATTCCTCAGTTGTACCAGGCACATTTCAGGTGCACCACACCCATATGTGGCTAGTGGCTACTCTGTTGGACAGCATAGAGAAGATTGCCATCATCACAGAAGTTCTATAGAATAGCACTGTTTTGGTACGACTGTGGGAGTGAATAGCTGAGGAGGACAGCAGAAAAGGTTTATTTGAGGTTAGAATGAGGAGATTGTAGGGTCATCCTGACCAATGATAAAATCACCAATAATTGAGTTAAGAGTAGGGGTGGGGGTAATATCAGAGGGAGCCCTGTTTGTCACATGGCCCTTGGGGAGAGGAGTTCTGGTGAGGGAATTGTAGAGAAAGAGATGAGCTTCTGTGAACTTCTGATTTCCGCTAGTCCTCAGGGTTACCACCTAATCATTAGCATGCCTAGCCCCAGCCCCACTACCACTAAGACCAGCCTCTTATCCTTCACCTGGGGCTGCATTGCATTGCTCCCAGGAGAATCAGCCAAATATTGCTATTCTTCCATCTAGGTGCTTGCCTAAAAGGAAACTGAGGCATCCCAGACCCTGGCTGACCTTGATTCTAGGTTGACAGAGCATAGCCCAATAATCCATCCATATATGCAGAGGTGCCCAGAGTCTCCAGGAATATGCAGCCCAATTGCCTCCCAGATCCCTCAGTGAGAACAAAATAAGGCTGGGGATGGGAATGAAATTTCTAGCTCTGTCATATATCAGGCCAGACTGGAGCTTCCTAAAGCCATTATCAGCCCTCAACAGGGTCCATGGACACAGGGGAAAATCTCACTGAAATTCTTTGCCAGGAAGAAGAGGAGGCAGCAAGGTTCAAGTCTCAAGATTCCCATTAGCTGGGGGACCCCATGAGACACATAAGACCAGGTTAGATCTTTAATAGGGACAGTAGATACAGTGCCCTTCCTGCCAGCCCTTAGGAATTGATGATCTCAATGTGAAACTGCAAGTGAGTGGCTGTGACTACACAGTGGCCCCGGAGGAGAGCACAGGTCTGGCAGTTGTGGCATTGCCAGTGGCCCTGGATGACGTAGATGGCGTTGAGCACCTGGCAGTATCGCCAATGGACACGCCACATACGGACCAAAGACTGGAGCTTGATCACTGCCCTCTCTCTGGTTGCGTAGGCGATCAGAGCTGCCTGCCGTTTCTTCTCCAGCACCCTCAACAGCGTCATCCGCCACCAGCACTGAATTATCCAGGCCCTGAGGGCCGCATGCAGCAGTGTCCTGCGCACCAGGGTGCCCCGCCACCAGGCCTGGATCTTTATGGCTGCTTTTGTTCTTATTCTATGTTTTTCCTAGGCAGAGACAAGACAGATCACTCAGGAAACTTCCTGCCACCAACTTTTGGGATCTTCCTAGAAGGAGCCTGGGTTTCCTCTCTCAACACACAGCCCTTCCTCAGAGTTCAGGAGAGTTAGCAGGACACTGACTAGGAGCCAGCAGACCTGGTAGTGACCTTCCTCTGCCACTGTGGACACATCACCTCACTCTCAGAGTCACAGAGTCCTTCTCCTGACTACCTCAGCAGTGCATGGATCAAGGGAAAAACCATTAGTAACTAGAAGGGTGCAGTAGCGATGTGCAGGACCTTGTCAGTTACTCATCTCTTCGATGTTCACTGGGTTTGGAAAGCTTGGCCTCATAACCTTCTGCCTGGTTACTCTCTGCTAATTCCAGCCCCAAACCACCACTGGCTGATTTCTCTCTGCCACAACCATATATTTCGATACTATGGTGGGTTTTAAATACCCTGACCACATATTCTACTCTAAGCCTTTTCATATTTTGAACATTCTACCCTCTAATTCCAGGTTCTCACATTCTCACCTCTCAGCCCCATGCATTTCTTGATGGCTTTCATTCTTTCCAATCACTCTCAATGTCTCAGTCAGATCCCGATCAGACAGCCTAGACTGAGCAGGGGATGGAGGGAAAATTAGCTAACATTGGGTTGACTCCTAATTAGACTCTGGATCCATAAGAGGCAAAGTCCCACACCTCATGATGTAGATATAAATGTTCTGGATTTCTCTTAACTACATGGAATTCTCACCTTGGTTTTCTGCTGTTTCTTCTTCTGCAATATCTTCCATTCAATGGTTTCTTCAACATCCTCAATCACAATTAAGATTAAATTGCCTTTGGTCTGTCATCAGAATTAAATGGGAAATACATAAATGAGTTAAGACTGTTGTTTCTCTCTGTGGCTCTATACAAAGACATTACTTTAGCATCCTCTCTTTTCTCAAGTTCTGTAAAGCCCAGGGAGATACCTACCCACCCCTAGTCCACCTAATAGATCTGACCATGTCACTTACACAAAATTGAATCCCCATGGCCTGTCCCTGGATGGTTCATTAGCCCTGATTTCTCTGCATCCCAAGGTCTGGCATGAGTAACATGAGCGAGGAGAGTGCTCTGAATTCACAATTGCATTATGACATAGGGATTAGGGCATCTGCCACTGAGATGGGTCTCTGTCAGAAACAAACTCCAGGGGAACTTGTACCACCTGTCTACTTGCCTCCTGTTGGAGATGTGTCAGAGCTGAGGGTGGAAAAATAGAGCACTTGAGTGCCATTCCATACCAGGGCTCTCCACATGTGAAGTCTATTTATAGTCCTTTCTCATTATCAGAGGCATGGCAAAGCAGGGAGGACCATGGTGGTGCATCCTCACATCATTCTCCAGTGTCTGGTGAGATTTAGCACTTCCTGTCTTACCTTGACTCAGTGCCTCATGATGCCTTAGGAATACACCAGACAAATCCAGGTACCTGTCAAATAAAGATCAAAACTTAATGACATAGAAAACAAAGGTGGATAGTGGAAAATAAATTTAAAAGGCAGTATTCTGACAAGTTTTAAAGATACTCGGTTATTCTGACAAGTTTTAAAGATACTGGGTAATCAAGAAAGAACAAAGTGGAATGACAAAGGTGAAACAGCCACAGTAAATACAAGAAAATATTAATGGTGACAAATTTGAACACTAAGAGGAAATGATTTTCTTTTTTCTTTTTCTTTTCTTTTTTTTTTTTTTTTTGAGATAGGGTGTCACTCTGTTGTCCAGGCAGGAGTGTAGTGGCGCAAGTTTGGCTCACTGCAGCCTCGACCTCCCTGGGCTCAGGCAATCCTCCCATCTCAGCCTTCTGAGTAACTGGGACTACAGGTACAAACAATCATGCCTGGCTTTTTTTTTTTTTTTCATTTTTTGTTCTTTTATTTTTTAAAATAGTTATTTATTTAGAGAAAATATTTATTTATTTATTTATTTATTTATTTATTTATTTAGAGAAACATTTCAACAATGTTTTGGAGTTTTCAGTGTACACTATGTTGATTGGGCTGGTCTCAAGCTCCTGGGCTCAAGTAATTCTCCCACCTCAGCTTCCCAAAGTGCTGGAATCATAGGTGTGAGCCACCATACTTGGCTGATTTATACTTCTAAGAGTTTTACAGCTTTAGCTCTTACATTTAGATCTTTGATCCATGTTGTTTTGTGTATGGAGTGAGGCTAGGTTCAAATTCATTCTCTTGCATGTGGATATCCAGTTGTTCCAGCATAATTGGTTGAAAAGACAATTGTTTCCCATTGAATGGACTTGGCACTCTGGTCAAAACTCAGTTGACCACAGATACATGGGTTTCTTTCAGACTCTCAATTCTGTTTCACTGACCTATATGTCTGTCTTGGTGCCAGTACCACACTGGTTTGATCAACTGTAGCTTTGTAGTATGTTTTGAAATCAGGAAGTGTGAACCCTCCCACTTTTTTTGTTTTTCAAGATTGCTTTGGCTATTCTGAGTTCCTTGCATTTCCATATGAATTTTAGAACCAGCTCATCAATTTCTGCAAAAGAAACCAGCTGGAATTCTGATAAGGATTATGCTGAATCTGTAGATCAATTTGGGGAGCACTGTCATTTTAGCAATATTAAGTCTTCTAACCCACGGACACAGATGTCTTAATTTATTTAGATCTTCTAAAATTCTTTCAACAGTATTTTGGAGTTCTCAGTGTACAAATCTTGCTCTTTTTCTGTAAAATTTATTCCTAAGTATTGTATTCTTTTCGATGCTGTTGTAAATGGAATTGTTTTCGTAATTTCATTTCATTTTTGGCTTGTTCATTGCTGATACAGAACTACAACCATTATTTGTATACTGAGCTTATATCCTGCAAACTTGAATCACGTCATCTGCAAATAGTGAGTTTTACTTCTTCTTTCCTAATCTGTATGTCTTTTTAAATTTTCTTCACTAAGTGTTCTGGCTGGAATCTAGTCCAATGTTGAATACAAGTGGTGAGCAGACATTTTTGTCTTGCTCCTGATCTTAGGCAGGAAGATTTCAGTACCTCACCAGTAAGCATAATGTTCACTGTGAATTTTTCACTGGTGCCCTTTTTCAGGTTGAGGGTTGAGGAAGTTCCTTTCTATTTCTAGTTTGTCCAGTTCTTCTTTTGTTTTTGTTTTTTGACCATAAAAGGGTGTTAGATTTTGTCCAGTGTTTTTTCTAATGTAGCAATTGGGATGCTTTATGATATTTTTCCTTTATTGTATTAATACAGTGACACAATAATTGTTGGGTTTTTTGTTTTGTTTTTGTTTTTGAGATGGAGTCTAGCTCTGTCACCTGGGCTGGAGTGCAGTGGTATGATCTTGGCTCACTGCAACCTCCAACTCCCAGGTTCAAGTGATTCTCCTGCCTCAGCTTCCCAAGCAGCTGAGATTACAGATGCCTGTCACTCTGCCCAGCTAATTTTTGTATTTTTAGTAGAGAGAGGGTTTCACTGTGGTTGGAGGCTGGTCTCGATCTCCTGACCTTACCATACACCCTCCTGGGCCTCCCAAAGTGCTGGGATTACAAGTGTAAGCCACCACACCTGGCCAATAATTGTTTTTTGTTTGTTGAACCAATCTTGCTTCCCTTGGATAAATCTCACCTGGGTATGGCATATCATTCTATTTATAAGCTGTTGTATTTGGTTTATTAGTATTTCGTTGATAATTTCTGCATGTTTATTCATAAGGAATATTGGTCTCTAGTTTCCTTTTCTTATGATGCCCTTGTTTAAGTTTGGTATCAGGGTAATATTAACCTCATAGAATGAGTGGGAAAGTGTTCCCTCTTCTGTTTTTTTGGAAGAGTATGTGAAGGATTTGTGTTAATTATTATTTAAACTTCAGTAGAACTTACCAATGAAGCAATCTGGCTTTGAATTTTTCCTTGTGGGAAGTTGCTTTATTGCTAATTCAATCTCTTTACTTCTTTGATATAGATTTATTAATATTTCTCTATTGCTCTTGAGTCAGTCTTGGTAGTTTGTGTCTTTCTAGGAATTTGTTCTTTTCATCTGTGATATCTGTTGTTGGTATAGAATTGTCCATTATATTGACCCAAATATTCTTTTATAATTCTTTTTATTTCTGTAAGGTTGATAGTAATGGTCCCCCTTTCTTTCCTGATTTCAGTAATTTGTGTCTTTCCCTCTTTTTCCTTGTTCAGCTTAGCTAAAAGTTTGTCAATTTTGTTTTCCTTTCAAAGAACCAACTTTTCATTTTATTGACCTTTTTTGATCTTAAAATCATCCTTTATTTATGCCTTAATCTTAATTATTTTCTTTCTTTTTTTGTGTGTTGGGTTTAGTTTGTTCTTTTTCCAGTTTCCTAAGGTAGAGGGTTAGGTTATTGATTTAAAGGTTTTCTCTTTTTTTTTTTTTTTTTTTTTTTTTGAGACGGAGTTTCGCTCTTGTTACCCAGGCTGGAGTGCAATGGCGCGATCTCAGCTCACCACAACCTCCGCCTCCTGGGCTCAGGCAATTCTCCTGCCTCAGCCTCCTAAGTAGCTGGGATTACAGGCATGCACCACCATGCCCAGCTAACTTTTTTTTGTATTTTTAGTAGAGACGGGGTTTCACCTTGTTGACCAGGATGGTCTCGATCTCTCGACCTCGTGATCCACCCGCCTCAGGCCTCCCAAAGTGCTGGGATTACAGGCTTGAGCCACCGCGCCCGGTCAGGTTTTCTCTTTTTAAAAGTAGGTGTTTGTGGTTATAAATTTCCCTCTGGGCACTTCTTTTGATGCATCCTATAAGTTTTGGTATGTTGTGTTTTTGTCTTCATTCATCTCAAAATATTTTCTACATTTCTTTGATCCATTAGTTACTTAGCAATGTTTTGTTTAATTTCCAAATTTTCTTCCACTGTTTATTTCTAATTTCATCTTATTATTGTCAGATAACATATATTATTTCAATTTTTAAAGAATGTGATGAGATTTATTCCAACATATTTCTGGGGAATGTTCCATGTGCACTTGAGAAGAATGTATATTCTGCTCTTGTTGGATGGAGTATTCTATAGAGCTCTATTAGGTGTAGTCGGTTTTTATTGTGTTTTTCAAGTCTTCTACTTCCTTGCTGATCTTCTGTCTAGTTGTTCTATCTTTTGTTAAAATACAATATTAAAGTCTCCAACTATAACTGTTGAATTATTTCTTTCTCTTTTTAATTCTGTCTGTTTTTGCTTCACGTAATTTCATGCTCTGCTGTTAGGTGCATGTGTATTTATCTACTTGGTAAATTAACCCTTTTATCATTGTATAATGTCCTTATTTGTCACTGGTAACCATTTTTGTCTCTAAATCTACTTTGTCTGATGTTAGTATAGTTACTTCACCTTGGTTTTGGTTGTTGTTTGCAAAGTGTATCTTTTTCCATTCCTTTATTTTCAACCTATTTGTGTCTTTGAATCTAAAACCAGTCTCTTGTCCTTACAGTTGGATCACATATTTTATCCATTCTGACAATATCTGCCTTTTACTTTTAATTTAATGTAATTACTAATAAGAAAGAACTTCCTTCACTTTGCTGTCTGTTTCTATAGGTCCTGTGTGTGTGTTTCCTATTCTTCCGTCACTGCCTTTCTTTGTGTTAAGTAGGTATCTATTAGTGTACCATTTTAATTGCCTTATTGTTTCTTTTACTATATGTTTAAAAATTATTTCCTTTAGGTTGTTCTGGTATTATTCCAGAGATATCTTAAATTTTGACATGGTCAAATCCATCTATTTTTCCTTTAGAATTCAGGTTTTGTAATTTTCTAAGCAAGTGCTTTCCCATCTAGAATGATGTTTTCCTATTAGCTTCTGCTCCCAAAAGGAACTACCAGTTAGTAAATCTAGATGGGCTTCACATGGACCACTGCCATCCCTGCTTTTTACTGCTTTCTGTAATTTTTCCCCTTCCTGACTCTACTGAGTCCCTTCTTTGCCCCCTCCCTCACTCTCCCTTTAAAATGCCAAGTTACCTGTTTGCAAATAGAAGTTTAATTCAACCTTGTTGGAGACTGTTCTTTATTGCAATAGTTATTACTAATTAAGA